TTGGTGGCGTTGGCATCTTTCCCTTTGGTTGTTGGTTATGGCCCTTGCTTGTATTCCCGCTGAACCACGGTCTCTGTACTCTGTATTTGCTGGACTCCTTATGTAGTGGAGCGTCAAGCCTTTGTAATTTAAAAATATGTTATCTCAAAAATAATTTAAAAAAAAAGAAATCCATCAATATTTTCAGGCCCTGCTGCAGCACGTCTTTGGGAAACGTGCTGTTCTTTCCACTCCCAGCAAAGAATGCAGAACATCAGAGAAGATGTCAGGGGCAGGATGTGCTTGTGCCGCGGCAAGAATGCGAGGCATCAGCTCCGAGGCACTGGTGTCAGCCACAGCTTTGGCTCGGACTCAAGCCTGGGCAAAACGCTCCGGTCCTGTTTGCGCTTAAAGGAAGAAGGTGCAAACCAGGGATGCTCCCCACCATCCGAACACTCTCTGGTTCATTGTTCGCTGTTGCATTTGGCTGGAGAGGTTTGTCTAGAGTCTGGGTGGTGTTTGCCCCGCGGGGAAAGTCCATCCGCCCATCTATAAACATGCCCTGGACGCCACCCCAAGTTCAAGTTGGCTGGGTGCTGGGAAAGCAGAGGGCAGCAGCTGTGCACACAGACCTCCCTTCCTCCCGTTCTGCGAGGGGCGGAGGAGAAGAGGGCGACGCGGGGTGGCTTCCAGACATCATCCCTGATGGACGTTGGACGCAGCTGCAGGAGCTCCACACGGTGCGGTCAGTGGTTCCTGCACTCCGCTCTGACCCGGCAGAGCAGGTCAGTGGTTCCTGCACTCCGTTCTGACCCGGCAGAGCAGGTCAGTGGTTCCTGCACTCCGCTCTGACCCGGCAGGGCAGGTCAGTGGTTCCTGGACTCCGCTCTGACCCGGCAGGGCAGGTCCTTCCCCTCCTCCACTGCCCTCAGCACGGAGAGGACTCCGCTGCGTGTGGATCTCCCGCAGACCGCGTGCGTCCTCCGTCTCTGTCACACACTCGCTCACGTCAGGACGGCGGGGCTTGTGGACCGGATGCTTCTTTGCTAAGGGGCTGCCTCTGCGGTTCACTGTAGGGCGCTGAGCTCCACCCCTGGCCCCCACCTGCAGGAGCCAGGAGCAGTCCCCACCTGAGCTGCGAAGTCCAACCCGTCTCCAGCCAGTAGCCAGCATCCCCTAGTGGGTAGAATCATCCCCTCTTGAGACCCCTGTCTTTAAAGGCCATCTCTTAACCTTTCCTGACAAAAAGAACCTGGGATTGAAGGCATCAAGCATCAGACATTTCTCTTAAAGGAGTGGGATCTAAAGCGATGCCCACTTGATCTCTTCGCTACCGTGGGATGGACCCAAGAGGCATCCACTCCCGTGTGCTGAGCAGCTGAGAAGCCGCAGCCAGCGCAGGTGGCCCCGGGCTACCGCGCGCAGGTGAAGGGGGCACTCCCCGGACACTAACCCGGGCTAACAGGAGGACCACGGGAGCTCTCGAGCAAGACCTTGAGACATCTTGCAGCCTTCTCTGCTTCACAGGAGAGCTGAGCTCACGGCAGGAAGGGAAGGAGGGGCTGAGTCTTAAAGCACAAGATGACTTCCCCTCCGCTGAGGAAAGCCAGAGGACAAGCGTCTGTCTGCAGGAAGGGTTTTCAATTAGGGTAAAGATACACTTTCTTTTAAAAAAAGATTTATTTATGTATTTGAAAGGCAGAGTTGCAGAGAGGCAGAGAGAGAGAAAGAGAGAGAGAGATCTTCCATCCATTGGTTCACTCCGCAGATGGCCACAATGGCCAGAGCTGGGCTGATCTGAAGCCAGGAGCCAGGAGCCCCCTCTGGGTCTCCCATGTGGGTGCAGGGGCTCAAGCACTTGGGCCATCTTCTACTGCTCTTCCAGGCCATAGCAGAGAGCTGGATAGGAAGTGGAGCAGCTCGGACTCGAACCATTGCCTGTATGGGATGGCGGCACTGCAGGCAGCAGCTTTACCCTCTACAACACCGCACCGGCCCCACTGTCTGACATCCTCTTCCTTTGCCAGGAGCGTCGTCTGAAATCACATTGCTTGCGTTTGCTTGCCTGGTTTATGAACTGACGCTGTCTGGATCTCGAATGTCTTTCTCACTGCTGTATCCTCACATGCTGCTACAGCCTTGAGTGCACGATAAACACCGGTTGGGAAAACAAAATGAAGCAAGGAACGGGAAATTGTGGCACAATTCCGAAAGTGGTACAAACGAGGATTTCTCCAGATTGCTTGTTCACTCCTAAGGTGAATCTTATGAAAAGAGGAGTCAGGGCCAGGTTGCTTCTCGGGACTCCTCCTCTCTGCCGTGACTGCCAGGGGGGCAGTTCCCCGAGTTTCCTTAGCAAATGGGCACGGACGCCTGCTACAAGCCAGGCACGGCTCCAGCGAGGAAGGACCCCAGATGAAGCACCAGCAGCCCCGCTTCCAGTCTGCACACGTAGCTGCTCATTCCCCAGCTCACTGCTGCCAGTCTGCCCGGATACTTTAACAAGAGAAAGACTTCCTGAGTAGGTGCTCCATGTGTCCTTCCTGGGTGGGGGAGGGAGGCTCCTCAGGGCAAATCTGTGGAGCTGGACCCTAGCACTGGGGTTTGCACATCATGTTGCAAAAACAAGTCTGGATATCTGGCCTTTCATTGATGATGGAGCCAAGAAGCCCCAGTCCCGCTGTGTTCTGCCCCACTGCAGAAAATGTACGAACAGAAGGCAGCCAGATCTTTGCGGCCAGAGATAGGGCTGGGTGTCTCTGTCCCAGATGCTGCACACGCAAAACCACTGATTCCCTACAGGAATCTATTCATTCGTGCATTTATACAGAAAAGTAATTCACCTCCCTCTCTGGGCTGGAAGAACCATGGACTAATCCCAGGATGCGCCATCATAAAGGCTGTTGGCTTGGCCTCTGGCAAAGACTAAAGGAAACTGAAAACAGACATCTGTCACAGCTGGAGACAAAGGTCCCAGACGCCAAGGAGCAAGTCCTTCTACGTCCACAGCCCAGAAACCCACAAGCTGTCACCAAGCGGGAGACTTGAAAGTCGCTCTCTGTGGTTGTCAGCACAGCCAAATTAATTTAGAAGTATGGACGCAGGTCTTTGCCGCAGAACTAATGGCAATACTTGCGGTTCCACAGGAACCCGACTGTGCTATCCACAAAGATCATTTTGCCCTCATCCACCCACCCACCCACCAACAAGGCGACAAAGCCCATTTACGCAACGAGACGTTGTCTGATTCTTCCCTTGCCAATCCTTTGATTACGCTAATTATGCAACTGCGAAGTTTCATGGAAGAAACTTACCTGATACGTCTACATGTGTCCATGTGATCACCAGTTCCGTAGTCTTGGGGAACCGTGGAGGCAGGAACTAGAAAACTGGAGAAGCTGCCCACATGTGTGCCTCTTAGATTAGCTCAGTGCTCCCAAGGGCGCTGGGCAGACCCTGGTGGTCTGAACATGACATTCAAATGCTACATGGGTGAAAAATTGCTAATATTTTTTATGATTTTTAATGTTTTGGGAAAATATATTTAATGAGCAAATTAAACTTGAGATTCTACAATATACTGCTGCTTGGGGACAATCATCACTTCCTGAACACGGAGATAATTTAAATAAAAGTATTAGGTAAACAACACACCCACATGCGGCATGTTGGAGAGGAGCATTAAGACGATTCTCAAATGACTGATGTTTGGAAATAATGGATTCATTGCGATTGCAGTTTGATGAGTTGGGGAAAGAGCTATTACGAGCCATCAGTTAGGGGCCAATGCTGTAGTGTAGGGAGTAAAGCGCCACCTGCAGTGCCAGCTTCCCACATGGGCACCAGTTTGAGTCCGGGCTGCTCCACTTCTGACCCAGCTCTGCTGTGGCCTGAGAAAGCAGTGGAGGATGCCCGAGTGCTTGGGCCCCTGCACCCATGGGGGAGACCCAGAGGAAGCTCCTGGCTTTCCATTGGCCCAGCTTCAAGTGTTGTGGCCATTTGGGGGAGTGAACCAGTGGACGGAAGATCTCTCTCTTTCTCTCTCTTTCTCTGCCTCTGCCTCTCTGTAACTCTGCCTTTCAAATAAATAAATCTTTTAAAAAAGAGAGCTATCAGTTAGTGCTTCTGTTCCTTCCATATTCTCATTCCCACTTTATCTCCCAAATCATTGTGTCCCCACTAACTTCAGGTGACTGCAAGAGGTGCGTGCATGTAAGAAGAACATTGTGTCGGGCTGTGAAATATGTCTGCTTATTCTTGGAAGGACTACACAAATGATCTTCATAACAAGCTATAATTTTGAGTTAAGGATGCCTTCTCTGATGTTGAATTATATTAAATGTCAATTCCAAGGGGAAAAATTTGCATTATTGCACTGTGGATAGTGCCCTCATGTGGCTTCAAAGTTTAGCTACATTGAAGAAGTTAAGGATCTATTTCTGAATTGCAAACTATAAATATGGCAGATAATGACAAAAAAGGCATGTGAGAAAAGAAAACCATGAAAAAAATGTGATACTTTGCCATCACTTAATCATTGTATTGAGTGGAATGGGATACCAATATGGCGGACAGGGTGTCTGGTCAACTAGTCGGGAACGATCATGTGTCCAGCTCGGACCTGGTATTATTTGTGGTGGATGGTGAAAATGTTAACTCACACAAGGGGCCAGCACTGTGGTGCAGCGGGTAAAGCCGCAGCCTGTGACACCAGCATCCCACCAGGGCTCCAGTTCGTGTCCCAGCTGTTCCACTTCCCATCCAGCTCCTGTTAATGTGACTGGGAAAGCAACAGAAGATGGCCCAAGTGCTTGGCCCCTGCACCCACATGAGAGACCCAAAAGAAGCTCCTGGCTCCTGGCTTCAGTCTGGCCCAGCCCTGGCCATTGCGGCCATTTGGGGAGTGAACCAGCAGATGGAAGACCTCTGTCTGCCTCTCCTTCTCTGTAACTCTGAATTTCAAATAAATAAAATTAATCTTTAAAAAAACACACACAAGACATTTTCTTTTTAAGTTTTATTTTTATCAAAACAAAATAATTTAACCATATAAAGAAGTAATTTCAACAACCAGGAAGCCAGCTACTTCCCCAGTTATGAACAATCCACAGAGTAGCAAGTCAGGAATGGCCGACTGTGATGTGAGACTCAGTCCTTCTAGGGCTCCAGGGGCAGAGGCCAAAGATTCCCCTCGCTCTTGTCTTCCAGACGTCTCCAGCCTGAAGCATGACTATTCCCACAGGAGTACAACGCATGGGTGAAAAGAATCAGGCCGGATAGAAATCGAGCACACGGGGTTCCTAGGCCCTGCCCCTGGATTCAGTGAGCTCTGAAAGAAAAGGACAAGAAGTTGTGCTTAAATATCCAGGGATGTAGTGTTTCAAAAGCCAAGGTGTCTCCCTGGCGTGAAAAATGGCAGCAGCTGCAGTGAGGAAAGTGCCCCACACCTTGACCGCCCACGGGGCCCAGCACCGCCCACAGGGCCTGGCACCGCCCACAGTAGGGGTGCCCACGGGCCCGGCACCGCCCACAGTAGGGGTGCCCACGGGGCCCAGCACCGCCCACAGTAGGGGTGCCCACAGGGCCCAGCACCGCCCACAGTAGGGGTGCCCACAGGGCCCAGCACCGCCCACAGTAGGGGTGCCCACGGGGCCCAGCACCGCCCACGGGGCCCGGCACCGCCCACAGAAGGGGTACCCACGGGGCCCGGCACCGCCCACAGTAGGGGTGCCCACGGGGCCCGGCACCGCCCACAGTAGGGGTGCCCACGGGGCCCGGCACCGCCCACAGTAGGGGTGCCCACGGGGCCCGGCACTGCCCACAGGGCCCGGCACCGCCCATGGGGCCCGGCATCACCAGTGGAGCCCAGCGGGCCATGGGCTCCTCGCCAGATTAAATCAGCCGGGTGGTGGGGGGCGGGGGATGCGGGGTGAGCAGCAGCACATTGTGATAATGATGACCGCTTCCATAACTGTAAAAATCTGCTGCACCCGGCAAGTTTTGAGCAAAATGCAAACTTCTGTGCTGGGAAGAATCGAATACTGTGATCACTCCAGGTAATGGATGTAAACGCAGGACTTTTGGCAAGAGACTGCAGAGCGTTTCTGTCTCACGCCAAGGCCGGTGGTCACAATGCACTCTGGGAAGGCTACTCTCCCAGGTTCAGCGGCAGCAGAGAGAGGACGAGAGTGGGGGAGGCTCCCCGTCATGCTGTTGGTGGTGTTTGGAGTAGAACTCAGAAACACGCTCCCTGGTCTTTGTGATAGGCTGTCAGATGAACCGTGGGTTCTCCTGGTTACCGTGAGGTGTGAGCCCAGGGGTGCTGGCTCAGCCAGGAGCTCCAGGTTATACCGATAAGAGGCAGGCCTGGTTCTGCACACAACAAGCAGTATCAGGTTGTCCATCAAAGCCCACGCGACCTTAAGGGTCAGTCACTTCAAAGCAGAGGTCATGCACGGGAGAGGAATCCTGCTCCTCCACACACCGTGGCAGTGAGGCGTGGCCGAGAGTGGGCAGAGTGGCCCTGGTCAGTCCTGAGCGCCATGGGTCGTGGCACTGGCACTCAGTGCCCCGGGACCACGGCAAAGGATTCAAGTCCGTGCCAGAACACTGAGCTGTTCTCAGAGGAGCTGAGCCATGTGTCGGTCACACGGACACTTTCTTGCCATAACCGAAACTCGGCTCCAGGTTGCTGATGTGACCTTAAAATATTGCATTTCACTTTAAGCAAGCCCACAGGAAAATCACAGTTTATAAAACCAGAGACTGTGGTTCATTGCTTTCTAAAATAATTCTTGATTTAAAAATAATCTTTACTCTGGATGATTTTCAACACTAGCTCTCCTTAGGGTCATGCAAGATTCATTTCTTATTTTTTAAGAAAATTCACTGAAATATCACTTCCACAGATTCCTGTTGATACAAAGCAAGATGCACCTGCCAACATGGCCACCCACTAGCTGAGTGGCCACCTGCCTACTTCTGTAAGACACAGGGACGTGGAGTCCACATTCCACCATGTTGGACTGAGGCTGAGATGTGGAGCCAGCAACAGTGGCTCATAGAAGGTCTGGAGCTATGACGTACTGCTCGGGGTCCAGTGGTTTGGCTGACACTCCCTCAGCCAGGCAGAAAGGAAGGTTCTGGAAGATAGTGTCCTTCCCCTGAGCGATGCCTCCTAATGCAGCCCATTCAAACCACAGGTGTGCTTCCTCCCACTCACATGCAGCCTTCTATTGTTTGCTTTTAACTTGTAAACGAGTCGACATTTACACAGTAGGTGATCGCACCCCCAAATCTGAAACCCCAGGAAAAAATTAAATGGCGCTTTCCTAGGTGTATGTTTTTCATTGCAATTATTGGTTGGGGGTGTGTAAGCTTCAGTATCACTGTCCCCCACCCAAGCTTTCTGTATGCAGGACCCCGGGGACAATGGCTTCCCATGGGAGTCATCTCCAAGCTACTGTGTCCACCAATGAAAAGGGCGGGGCAGTTCCTCTCTGACCGCCCCCTCTCACAAGGACTGGAACCCAGAGACACACTCAGCCATCTTGCCCAATTCTCTCCTTCTCGTTTAGGGAAAATGAACTGCAGAGAGGGTTCTAACAAGGGTTCCCAACTGGTGCAAAATAGTCAGTACTTCAACCTCTCTCCCTCCACTTGCCCGCACTGCCTCTCCTGTGACAGCGCACGGCCGGCTCCACAGGGCAGACAATCGCTGTATCACTTTTGTTTGGTTTTAAACGCACTGAGTGAATGCCAGACGTCCCTTTCACCCCTCTTCTTCGGTTTCCTTGGCTGGGCTTGCGATCCCTTGGCCATCTACAAGTGCATTCGAAATGACCACAGACGTCCGCTAAGCCACGACGGGAAGCTGGCCTGGCACTGAAGCTTTCTATGGATCACGCTAAAACGGGAGAATCCACGTAAAGACACTTGAAACGTGACTGTGCTTCGTCACAGGCAAGGACTTGTTACAGCGTGGTCATCGGTGTGCGATGTTTCGCATCGCGGCCTCGCCTTGGAAGTGCAGGATGCCGCATGAACGCCACTGCGCCAAAGTGAAGCCAAAAGAGCTCGGCTATAAATTTCTAGTTGTACAAAAATCATACCAAAAGCAAATAGAAAATTGTATTGAAATGCAGCAACGTAAGCCTCTGTTACGTCCTTCCTCTGCTGTTTGAGGAGAGGGAGAGAGGGGCAGTAAACCCGAGGCCTCACTCGCCAGCTGGCGAGTAGACCGGCGCTCCCCCTGCCCAGGGGCGCACTGCTTGGTGTACCAGGGAGTTTTGTCTGCGCTGTTCTGACTTGCACAACACAGAGGCTGATTGAATCTGACAGCAAAGTAACACCAAGCCCCCAAAATAAAATGACTGAGATGTAAAACAGCATCAAAACCCCAATTAGTTTTGTCTCCTGAAGCTTCTGCAGGAAATCCGAACGGCTCCCGCCACGACGCGCAGGCATCGGTTTAAGCGGTGCCGATCACTGAAGTGTACCCCTCTAATTGAAGTTGCGAGGAGCGCGACATGACAAAGAGAATCAGAGGAAAATAAGGGACATTTTCCCCCTCCAAGAAGAATGACTCGTTCCAGAGAGGCTGTTCTATTAGCTTTTAACACAGAGATCCTTTGCAGGAACTGTATGCACCACAGGCTCACGGGTTTCCACGGAAAAGGCACCAGGCACAGGGTAAGCACGTGCTCATGTCACCGGACCGTAAATGAGCATTGACCGTTTGCACAACACTGAAGAGGACCAGCACTTCCGCAGCACATAGGCGTCTTGAAGTATATGTACAGCTTCCACTCGGGGGGCAAAATATTTCCCCCCAAATGTCAGTTTCTGAAGGGATCTGAATTTTGTCTCCAGCGTGCACAGATGCATCTCCCTGTCCAATTCACACCCCAGCTCTTTCTGAAGCGCCCTCAGTTCTCCCAAGGGTGCCCACTGCCTTCGAAGCAAACCCTGAGCTCACGAGTGGGGGAAGCCAGGCACCTCCACTCTGCAGGGCACGCTTGCTGGTAAGCGGGGCGCCCCCAAGTGGCACTGGGGGTCAGTGTGGCTTAATGGAGGGGCTGCAGTTGGTTGGCGTTGGCTCGGAAAGAACCCCGCATGGCTTTCGCAATCTGTGCAAGTTTCACCAAAAGAGCCAGCCCTCGGGCCAGCTCGGCGACGCTTCTTCGGGAAGCACCAGCAGCCTTCGGCCGCAGCAGCCGTCCTTGCCCGAGAGCGTCATATCTCTATGACCAGTCGGTCCTCGTCATCACTGCTGGTGTCACTCAGCTCCACTCGCGTCTGCTTCCTCATTCCTTCCAAGCTCCCCTTCTGGGAGCTCTTGCAAGGCCCCTCGGGGACGTCTGCGGGCTGCCCCGGGTTGGAAGGAACCACAGAACCCTTCCCAGCGGCTAATCCAGGTCCTTGACCTTTCCCAGCGTCGTTTCCCAAAGCAGAGCCCGGGGTCGCCATTTCCCCACACCCACACTGGCCCCTGGAAGGAAAGTACGTCTTGGGTCTCCCTTCCTCCTGGTACAGACTAGTGGAACTGGATCCTGAAGTTGCTATTTTGCGATGAATTTTTCCAGTTGACCCCAGCGGAGCTGAACCTGCACTCGTCTGTTCAGACAAAGGCTTGCCTGACAGAGGCGAGTGCGACGCGCTCTCTGCTGCAGACTTTCGGCCTGGGGCGCTCTGCGTGTCAGTCTCCCCTGCGGTCCAGCTGTGGTCTTGTGTCTCCGCACTGCGCACGCCCATGGTGGTGGGAGCCGCTCCTGCCCCTGGAGATGCACAGATGGACCCCGAGGTAGCAGCAGCATGGCAAGGAGAAGCCCCATCGGGTCCAGAGGAAGAAGGCTCTGGGGTGTCCCAGCAAGTGCGGGGCACGGGGTCTGCTGGGACCTGGTCCAGGGAGGGCAGCGGCTGAGTCTCCGGGACCCCAGAGTCGAGACCTCTGCCCTGGGGCACAAGGTCGTCCTGTGCCACTGCCAGGCAGGCGTCAGCTTGCAGAGGACGACAGTCACCAGGCTCGCCGGCAGATGGAGAAAGAGCCTGCAACAAAGTGCAAAGCAAAGTAAGTGGGGGGAAATCAGGGTTAATTAGTACAAAGCAAAACGTGGCCAGAAGCACAGCTCTGGGAACAAACAAGGTCCTGGAGTCTTAATGACTCTTTATCAAGCGTGATCTCCAATGTGATGTCCTCAATCAGTTTCCATTAATAACTAATTGGTGCATTAACTGGAATGATGCTCCTCCTGCTACAAAACAGGCTGCTGGGGCTGTCATGTGTTTTTATCTGGTTTTGTTCAAAGCAAAACCGCTCAATTAGCCGGCCAGGCCTGAGCTGGTGAAGTGGCTGCACCACTTTGTGGTACTTCACAGATTAGCGTTTTGCAAAGCGTGGTCTGGATTTGCGTGTTAGTGGTCCTGCACTCTGCCCGGGAGTGGTTTTCTGTCACAAATGGCAGTGCCTCTGCTCTGCTGAGATACACATTATTAATGTGCTGGCTTAAGAGTTGTAACAGCCCCTCGGAAATCATCCCAGTGGTTGGGCAAGTGGAGCTGCCCACGCTCTTGGTGAAGAATGTGTGCGCGTGTTTGTCTGCTTGGTGGACTCATGGTGCGGCCCTTCAAAAGGTGATCCGAGTGAGTCGTGCCAAACACAACAGCATTCAGAAGACACGGGGGCCGTGAGTCCAGGCAGCCCACCTTCCCGGCTGATCTGGCCGCTTCCTGGGCAGCCCTTGAACTCGAGCTAGGAGCAGAAGTTCTCGGGATTTGTCCACAGTTGCTTTCCGCCTTCTCCTCATCCCCACAGCAAAGAGGCAGTTCCGAGGTGGCACAAGGTGGCTCCCCTGGCACACTGGGTCCTGGAAGGAGGGAAGCACATTTCTGTACATCTGGGGTTGTAAAATAAGTCGTCTTTTCCGAGGAGGCTGTCCCTGCCCGCATGGCCCCTCTGCGCCCCTCACCCTCGTCTCACGGGCTGTGTGCGGGAACATCATGTACCCCCCACCAAGTCACACCTGCTCAAACAAACGTCTCTACTCCTGCGGAGGAAGGAGGAGATTGTCAAACCAACTCCCAAAACAGGAGCATCCTTCTATTGCAGCCATTGTAAAATTTTTCTTTCCCAGCGCAATCACCTGTTTGGTCACAGGGGGTTGGGTTAATTCGGGGTCCTCCTGAATTCTCTGGCCGCTGAGTCACATGGCCAGAGTAGAGATTTTGCTCTGCACCCTGTAGGATGGGCACCCCAGAGACAACCATGTCTCGATCCCTATTCAGACAGCAGGCAGCGGGGCAGAGGGGAGGGCTTGGCTGTGGCCGCATGGTGGTGCCCACAGCTCCTTCTCTCATCCCGTCCCTTCCCGCCTCCAGTTTTCTCCTAGGGGCCCAGAATCCAAGTCAGAAAGTGCTCAGCGTTCCAGGGAGGGAGCCCACATCCACAGGTGAGATCCGCAGATCTCATTCCAGAAGCGCTGGGTCCACGTCCAAACCTGCTTCCATCCGTTCAAGTCACACGTGCGGAGCTTGCACAAACACAGCAAGCCCCGCCTACCCCCACTTCCCCATCTGGGATTCCTCCGCTCTCTGCCTCCTGCACTGACAACAACCGTGCTTCTAGCTCTCCTTCCTGATGGTTACTTCTTTCTCTCAGTTTGGACAACAACCTCGGACTCCTCTGGGGGACACCAGCCCTGCGCATGCGCCTCCCAGGTCCTCCACCCTCACCCCACCACCCCGGAGCAGGACTGAGCCCACACTGCAGCCAGCACTCAGCGTGCACGGTGCCGTGTTGGGGAACAGGCCTTTCACCCACTGAGCCATGGAGTGCACCAGGAGTTCATTGGCTTTCTTGCCAAAATTGTCTTCCCTGGAATTAATAATTATTTTGGTTTTTTCCCTTTGCTTAGTATCCTGTGGATTTATTACTAAAACCACTCCCCAACCCCTCCCCGGCTGGGTAAGGTTTCGGCTCATTTCCTTTGAAGCTGCTTTCTTGAGCTGTTCTGAACTGCTCCGGAGGACAGCTGCCCCCCGCCCCGGGAGCTGCTGTGGCCCGGGACTGCCTGTACCTCCTTCTTGGTTCATGGACCCCCAACTTCTTCTTTCCTGGCTTAGCCTCCTAACACACAACTTCCAGGAACCTCATGAGAAAGCGTGCATCAGACAACACTGCTGGCTGACACTGGCAGCTTGTCTGGGTGCAGCCCTGTGAGCTGGAAGTCATCTTCCCCCAGAACGGAAGACACCGCTCCGCGAGCCGCAGCGGCAGGAGTCTGGAGCTGCGGTGGTCACGGTCCCGGGGAGGAACCGTCTGGCTCCCCACGCCGGGGGCTCCTCCCCCCACCCCCGACAGCTTCACTCACTGAGAGCTCGCGGGAGCCTTTCTATTTGAATCATGTCCTGTTTTGCAAAAATAAAGTTCTTTTTTTTTTTAATCGTGTATAACACACTGTTTTGAAGTATGTGTTCATTGTGTAATGGCTAAATCAAGCTCAGTAATTCATGCATTACCTCGCATAGCTTTTCTTTTCTTTTCTTTTCTTTTCTTTTCTTTTTTTTTCTTTTTTTTTTTTTTTTTGTCGTGAAAACACTGAAAACCTACCCCCTTCACAATGTTCAAGCCTAGAATACAGAGTTTTTGATGACGGTCTTGTCGTAGAGAGCCACAGCTGACACGGATTGCCTCGACTTCTTTTTCTTTTTGTCTTCTCTTTCTAGAACTGTCCTTACTCGGTAGGTGGGCCTCCCGGTCTAGACCTCTGCTCTTCTCATCTTTTCTCCTAGTTTCCTTGACCTTTTGTGTTACTGTGGGGACATCCCCGCACCGCTGCTTCTGCTCCCATGTTCTCAGTTTTCTCAGCTCATTTCCTAGGCTCCTTTTCCACACGGTCCTGTTCTTAGCTCTCAACTCCAACACGTTCTCTTTTATCTCCGGAAATATTAATGACGGGTTCTTGTTATTTAAGTTGGCTCTGCCCTACGGTCTCTCCTCAAAATTCCTTTGCTAGAAAAAAAAAAAGGAAACAAAAAATACACAGAAAAGAAACAATAAAAAATGAAAAGAAAGCAAGCCTTCCTCTGCTTCGTTTGCTCCTCTGAGTGTGGTAAAGGGTTTCCTGAGACACACAAGGTACTCCAGAGTTGGTGGAAAATGAAATTAAAGTTTATCTGGCTGTCAAAAAATCCTGGAATTTTCATAATAGGCATTTTCCATGAACTTTACAAAGACTTCTTTGTACGCATGGATTTGGGGGACTTTTGCATCAAAATGAACTTCCCACTGAATTGCATTTCACACAGACGCTTGGAAGAGTGTTCATGTGGGAATCGGACACATTTGCCTATACTTGGTGGACGAGCACGGACAAGCGACTTGGTGCTCTCTCCAGGTGTGGTTTGCCAACCCCAGGCCCGGCTGCAGAGCCTCGGGTGTCCTGCTCCATGCAAACACCGCGGTGTTTCCTCCGGGGCCACCCACATGCACGGGTCAGCATCTGTGGGAGGCACTGGGGGAGCTCCTGGGGCAGGAGAGTCCGCAGTACTCATCACTGGGTCAACCGCCATGTACAACTTAGTCCCCGCACGCCCTGCTGGACCAGCGTCCTGCTTTCAGCCCCACCCGGTGTCATAAGTGACTGAGTCTGGGAGAAGGGGGAGCATTCCCCACTGCTAGGCCCAGACCGAGTCCCGGGGGTCTGCTCCGTCAGCTAGCACCCAGCCTCTGTATTCCAGCTGCCTCCAGCGTGGCAGCAGCTCACGGCGTGCCTCTGCGTGCATCACCCATGTGCTGATGCCTACATTTTCAGAGGAGAGTGGAGATTCATGAATGTGTTCTGTGGTGGAATGAGAAGGCCACACCAAGATGGCCGCTGGCAAGCGAGCATCAGTTACTCAGGAATGGCTTTGAAACTCACCTGGAAACGGAGCCTGCCTGGCAACAGGCTGTGATTGGTTAGGGCATAGACCGCCCCTTGACCAGATTGGCTGCCTTGGCTATATAAGCTGCTACACCAACTGAAATAAATGAGTCTGCGGGCTGCTCGCCTCAGGCCCGCTTTCACCCGACTCCCGGGGTCTGTGTGGTGACTCCGCGCCTCTTGCTCCCACCACACTCCTCCTCTCAGAATGAATCCACAGCAACAACGTTCCAGAAGATCAGACCTACTCCTTCCAACTCGAGGGCTAGCTTGGCAGATGACCAAGCTGAGCAAATCAACTTTGAAGCTCTGCGGAGAAATACAACGGTTTGGGAAAGGAACTGGTATTTCCCTTCAATTCACAGGTGACCCGGGCCACCTGTGTGCTAGGGTTTTCTGACGACACACAACCGAGCTCCTAGAATTCCATTCATCTGTTCAACAGACATGCCCTGGGATCCTTCAATGGGCCAGGCACTGAGGGCCTTCTGAGAACAGGAGGGTGCCCTGGCCTGCGGGTGCTGCTAACGACGAAAGGGAAGCAAAGGCGAGTGATCAGAGCCATAAGAGGATCTCAAGCTGTGCTGGGGCTGTGAAAGAAATCGACAGAGGCCAGAGAGTAGAGGAAGTAATGGCCAGGGTAGCGCAGATGGCGGCCAGAAGCAGGAAGCACCCAGCAGTCCAGGGAGGGTGAGCACCCAGAGACCACGATGAACGGAGAATAGCAATGGGGGAGGGGGCGTGTTTCGGGGAGCAATGGGGTAATTCTGGTTTTTTATACAGTGGAGGAAAAGGTGACATCGAAATGAGACTTCCAGGATGAAAAAGAGCCGGTTGTCAAAAGACGAACCAAAGAGAGAACAAAGGCAGAGAGCCCAAGTTGGAAGGAGGTGGGGGGTTAAGGACCCGACGGATGGCAGCGTGGAAGGAGGTGTGCAGAGGAAGGGAAGGGAGAAACATGGAGGTGAAGTCAGCAGGACTCAGATCTTGCAGAGAATAAGCGGCCACAGCAGGAGGTGAATTTTCATCCGAGGGTCACCGGGAAGGAGGGAAGGAGCGGGCAGGGCCCCTGCCTTCTTCAAAGGGGCCGCTGCTGCCTGGAGACTCACTTAGGTGAGAGGGGGTGGCGTTGCAAGGTAACCAGGTGCGCTAGGAGCCAGAGGAGCGGGCTTGACAGGGCAGTGGAAGCAGCAATGGAGAGTATGGATGGATCCGAGGTGCGTTTCCACGCTCACCTGTGCAAAACCACACACACACACACACACACACACACACAATGATGATGAAAGCATCTGTAGTCCCAAAGTTTGCCAAGCACAAGTGCTCACTCTAAGTGGATTAGCTCTGTCCCCACAGTGACAAGGCAACCAGACAATTCATTCAATTCAATGAAGAAGTAAAATCAATTAGTACAGAGGAAAATAATCAGATTGGCCAAATGTCTGTCCAACAGGTTGTTTGGGTTCTTAAGCTGAGGCAGAAAGGTCATGTGCACATTTGACCAATAGCTTCTGACTCATCTGAGAAAGCCAAGGAAGAAAATCCAATGATTTAATTCACTTTTGACCTTACAGTCTACAGGGAAAAGTGAGTTATCTTTAATAATTGTGAAAAATGTCCAAATAATGTCACTGAAGTGTGTTAAACTAATTTGGGTTATTGAAGCAGGACGCTAACTTCATTTTAAATGAATGGCCTTTTTCGAAAAGTAAGTAGTGCCCGGGGAGATTTTGCAGCCCAGAGCGCGAGCCTGTTCCGGCCACAGCCGGGCCCTCTTGAATCCCTTCCTGCGTCCGCCGCCTTCTGCGATCCTCAGAGAGCCGCCCGCTCTGACCCAATTACGGACTCTTAGTCGAGACCCATCACTCATCACAGCTCTGTGCCCTCCTGTTCTTCCCCTGATTAAAGGCTGCGATTTTAATAATTTCCCTCAGAAATAATTG